TGTGTGTGTGTGTGTGTGTGTGTGTGTGTGTGTGTGTGTGTGTGTGTGTGTGTGTGTTGTGAATATTCACCACAACAGCCCCTATCCACCCAGATGAGGAGACCCAAAATCAAAGCATATTTAATCTTATTACAGACAATGAAAGCCCTTGAGTTCAGACAACCCAACAATGAAACAGTTTCACCACAATAGCAGCAAGCAACATGAAGTACAATAGAAACATGTGAAGTTGTAAACCCCTTTCTTGAATGTGTTCACATTCGCTTTCTTCGGGGCACCCCTTTCAACTCCCCCTTTACTGTGCCTGTTATGCACAAGGCTCCCCACGTTGATTGTGGTTGAGCGCGAGCTGCCCACATCCTCGTGTGCCATAACGGCCCACTTGCAGACTATGAAAAGAGGCAAAGCAAAGGCAGAGGTATATTCCTGTTCATCTCTTCTCAGATCTTCAACTTATATTTTGTCTGTTCTCGTTACGGTAATGATGCTCATTCGTATGTATTACTAGTAATGCACAAGAGGAGGGAGGAAGGAAATGGGAGGTGGAGTTTCTCACAGGGTTCTAAATACTGAATAGTGACCCCTGGGGCAGACCACTCTAGAATGGCACATGAGGCCAGTCAGTGTGTGGGTTGCATAAGATTTGAGGAGCGGGTGTTGCCTACAGTAAGTGGCCGCCTCTACACACCGGGCAGGACCGGTTTGGGTGGTGCCTGTGGAAGCACAGCAACCAATTCTCACAGTCACTCAGTCACAGTTAGTGGATCGAATGGCACGGCGTAGACATTTGTCACAGGCTACGTGGCCCCTACATGCTAGGAACACAGAGGCACGTCGACCGCAATTGTAGAGGCATTGCCGTTCCAGCCCCTGTCTACAAATTGGACATGACGACATGTCAGGGTGCCGTACATGAGTGCAGCATCAACTGTCATCATATGTATGAAGACAAAAGCTCGCCCGGGCTATCCCTTTATAATCCTCATGGCATAAGGCATGCGAACCACATGCTAGCTGAATCTCCAGTGGGTCATCACGAAGTGGCATGGAGCAAGTTTCTTGGGTTTCCTCAGTAATTATTCCTTCTGTATGGGTAGACGATGACGGGGGAGATTGATCCAAAGCAAGGGCGTTCAGCTGCTGCAGGATGTGGTCTGCAACAGCTCACCCCAGTGGAGACAACCTATCAGCACAGTGCTCTGTAGGTGGTCCATATGGTAATCTATATTCCTCGTCAGGCTGCTGCGCCCTTCATTTGTCAGGCAAGTAAGAACTACTAAGAAGGAATTCCGGCTGCGGTTGCCGTAGGTGTATGACCAACACCGCATGTGGGACATGCTAGGAGAGGATGTGGCGGATGATGGCACCGGGGGTAGTCCACGCAGTAGAGACACATACTTTCTATGACAACTTCCTGGAAACATGGAAGACACATGGCATGCTGCTGACATGTCATCAGCAAAGAAGACTGACATGTGCAATTATTCAAGCATGGCAGATCAAGGCCACAACAGCATGCTGAGCAAGTAATCAAGTGGTGGGCAGGTGAGCACAAGACAAAGGAACGCAGTTTTCGTGGCAGAGGCTGGCAGCAACCATCCCTTCATAGTGTTCGGACCAGAGGCTATACCATGCACGCGTGTGTTGTTGTGTGTGTGTGTGTGTGTGTGTGTGTGTGT